TCTATATCAAATTTTAGAATTTATATTGATATTTTATCTAATTTTATTTGTTTTTATTAATTTTTTTTAGGTAAACTGCCACATCACCGCTTTTTACCTGCTAGTGAACAGTAACAGGTCACAATTTTGACGTGTGCAACAAGTAAGTTAGTTCGATATTTAATATGTTATTGTTACAAATTTCATTGTTTAAAGTGTTAGCAGTTGAACCTCAAGGTTTAAAGTGTAAATTTTTGCCAACTTCATGTTTTTTTATACAATTTTTCCGATTTAATAATGATGTCGCGATCTAAGATAGCCCTCAAGTTTGAAGTTTGATTTTTTTCAATCTGATTCGTATTTTTTTCTGTTTTTTGCTAAATACATATCTTCAACCGGTAGATGTTTAAGGAAAGAAAAAAATAGTTACATCTTCCAACTCAGATATCTCCGGCCACTGCTAGTGATCTAACTAAGACATGTCTTGACAAAACACAATTTCACCATACAACTCTCGGCATGGAGAAAGGGACAAAGACTCTCGGCATTTGCAAAGATGAGAAAAATAATACTCCATCCGTTTCAATTTAATTGTCATTCTAAAGTTTTACACACAGATTAAGAAAATAATTAATTTTACATATTTTCAAAATAAAAACACAATTACCTATACACCTAACCACTTTTCAACCAATGAAAAAAATAGAATAACATTTAAAATCAATAAATTTTGCACTGAAATTATAAAACGACACTTATTTTGAAACGAAAATTTTACTCTAGAATGACATATAATTTGAAACGGAGGGAGTATTTGATTTTGAAAAAAAAATCTTTCATAAAATAATCAAATAAAAAACTGAAGAAATAAAATAAAATAAAATAATTAAAGGAAGCAATTGATAAAAATAAAAAATAAAAAAATAAGAGGAAGCAAAAGAAAGAAAAAAGGGTCAAATGAGTAGAAAATTGGTTGACCAAAAGTTGAGTAGAAAATCACATCACGTGTTGTGTTGAGCAAAACCCATCACAGCCCCCCAAGTGCATGGAGTCGAATAAATCATTTTCATTTTGATAACAATCAAAATGAAATACAGTATCTTCTCACCACACTATGTTAAAAAGGGTAAGCAAAACATACATTCGTAGAGGAAAACAGTCTTGACACGAGATTGATCTTTCTATTACAAATTTCTCTCCAAGTGCATGGAGTCGAATAAATCATTTTCATTTTGATAACAATCAAAATGAAATACAGTATCTTCTCACCACACTATGTTAAAAAGGGTAAGCAAAACATACATTCGTAGAGGAAAACAGTCTTGACACGAGATTGATCTTTCTATTACAAATTTCTCTTCTCTTTAGAGATTGTTCAGACAAAAGTTATGTGACGCAGAGACGTTTCAATTGCCAAATCTTGTAATGTACAACACTATGAGATGCTCCTCACATATTGGTCAAGTGCAGTGTTGAACAACTCTGACCTTAAAGAACCAATGAAAATATAGTCAGGACAATACGATTTGCTGCTTGATGAAATAAGAAGACGTTATCACTTACTTGATTGGAGATCCTGGGTTGTAAATAGGATTTTTCACCACATATTCAACATATAACCCGTAGATGTACTTTAGGGACTCGCGTAAATCTCCAGTCTTTGGATGAGTTACTAAGATAATCTGCAAAAAGAGTATAAACATTGTGTGGTTTAAGCAACTCTGGAATCTTCACTCTTGAAGTTTGCTTATCTTGAAAACTCCATCCATTTGTATGTATATCCAAATAAGTGAATCAAGGCAGCCACGCTCAGTTTCAACTGATTGGCCCACAAAATCCGACCAACACCATCACTAAGTGTCTAAACAATAATCATGCGACATAGGAAGAACTAACCATACGAGGCAACAATAAGTTTTCAGTCATATTAATTACATTTGAAACAACTAGACCCTAAAGCATGAAACCTTAGTTATGCAATCAGCAATCCCCCAAGATACATCTTTCAAACATATCAATCTTCACCCTCACATGCTTGTTCAAACATATCAATCTCTAAATAGACATGAATCAGCTCAGCTAGTTTTAACTCCTAAAGAACAACTTACTAACCCATTTCTCATACTCACATTATAAACGTCTCTCTGAAAACGCTGGTTTCCACATTCATCATCTTAATTCCCATATTCTTACATATCAATCTTCACCCTCATATACTTGTTCAAACATACCAATCTCTATAGAGACATGAATCAGCTCACCAAGTTTTAACTCTTACAAAAACAACTTACTAACCCCATTTCTCCTACACGACATTATGTTCGACATCTGTCTGAACATTCACATTCATCTACTTAGTTCCCATAATTTACACATAATCTCCTTAAAAGTTCTCATGATCTCTAAGTAGACACAAAGACAATGACTTTAAAGTTGAATTTACAAGCGAGACAGTTCTTGAATCAAACCTTAATACCAGAAGGAGTCTCCATGAAGCTAAGCTTGTAAGTATTTGTACGGAAACTATGGAAAGAGCATCCTTGTCCTGGCAACTGTGGAACCCCTAGATTCCCCTTATCCGCACTGCACCCAATCAAATCAAGATCCAAAATTGATCCAAATCAAATCCATCAAAAAAGGATCTAAGGGATGACGAAAATCACTAACTTGACGGGATCCATCTTGGCTGTGAGTGATTTAAGGGAGAAGAGAAGACCGAACATGAGTTTGTGATCTTGCTGAGGGTTGAGCGTGTGAAGAGGCCTGTTCCATTCTTTGTAGAGGAGACAGACGCCGTTACGGTTGAAAACGTACATCATGTGCGCGTTGTTTCCACTCGCTGTCGGAACCTGTGGCGACGGATTTATCTCGGATCCACCGAAGAACTGCATTCTTCCGTCGTCGTCGTCTCCGTGAGTGAGAGATCAGAGGAAAATGTTTGCAGCTTCGGATTTGATTCAGGAAAGTATTCATATAAGCCTGTTATATTAACTATTGCATTTTTTTTTTTGGAAAATTTGTCAAAAAGAAATTAAAACAAATAACTATTGTCCCCTTAAAATAAATTTCATGATTTATGTCCCCTTATAATAAATTTAATGAAAATTCAATTTAGTCTTTAGTATTTAAATTTTTTAAATTTTTGAATAGAGTTAATAAAAGAAATACAAATACTAATTAAAAAGGTAAAAGTACATATACTAATATCCCATACAAAATCGGTATACATATGTTTAGTTAAAAGGGATCAAAATCTTTAAGTCAAAAAATCCAACTCCCCTCGTGTTCTCTCCGGCTCCGATTCCCGTCTGTTCTCCGGCTTGTTCTCTCCAGCGAATCCTTCCCTCTTCCTCTTTCCTTCTTCTTCCTTCCTCTTTACTCTGGTATTTTCTTTTACATCCTCTCTTGTTTTCATTGTTCTTATTTTCTGGGATTAATTCTAAGTGATATTGTTCTCTTTGAAACTGTAAATCGGTATAGGGAAGAGGCGGACGAAGCTTTCATCACTGATTAAGAACAAGTTGGAGATCAATTTTCATCTCAGTTCATCTTTTTCCAAAATCGAAGGTTAGATTTTGAGATCCCTTTCGATGTGCATGTATTAGAAAAACAGTGGGATAGCTTAGAAACTCAACAATTATCAACTCTCTTCAATTATGAACCAAGATGAAAATTGAGACCCCTTTTTGATATTGATTTGTTTTACATGTTATTTTTGTGATTCGTTTGTGTTCAATTTACATGTGATTTTTGTGATTCTTTTGTGATGCTCAATGCCTTATTCGAAAATACGTTTTGAAAAGTGTACGATTTTTGTGATTCTTTTGTGTTCAATTTAACATGTAAACCGATCAATTAAGTTACTCTTAAGAGTTTTGTGCTTAGTAGCTCACAATGTAACGATTTTTGTGATTCTTTTGTGTATAATTTAACATGTAAAACCCATCAATTAAGTTACTCTTAAGAGTTTTGAACTGAGTAGCTCACACTGTATATATTTTTGTGATTCTTTTGTGTACAATTTAACATGTAAAACCGATCAATTAAGTTATTATTAAGAGTTTTGTACTTAGTGTGTCAATTGATACTGACTATCATGTTATTTGATCTCATTGTTTACAGGCATGGCTTTGGAGTATACAAAATGCATTTTCGAAGAAGGCATTGAGCATCAGATTGCTAAGATTAACAACACCTGTAGACGTACAATTCTTGATATACTGAAGGTTGCTCTCAAGGATGAGTACGAGGAAGTGCAGAAAGACCCTGTCTTTGGTCCGCTTCTAGCCATCAATGATAACAAGCTCATCTACTCAAGGAAGATTGTTCATAGCTTCATATGCAAGCAGTTGAAGGTTTCTAAGCTTCACGAGCTGTGGTTTCTGTTTGCAAAGAGGCCTCTTAGGTTTTCAATGCAAGAATTTTATGCTGTGACTGGACTCAAGTACAAAGAGGAACCAGATATGGACTTCGATAGTTGGAAGAATGATAAGGGGTTCTGGAGCACGGTGCTGAAGCAAAAAGAGAAGATCAACTTAATGTGTGTAAAGAAGGAACTCCTCCAAGTTTGCAACAAATGGACGTACGTGGACAGGGTGAGGCTAGTGTATCTCTGTGTTATCCATGGATTCCTCATTGCGAAGGATGAGAGAGTGCATATCCCTCACGAAGACATTCGCTTGGTGATGGATTTCGAGAAAATGAGGAAGTATCCTTGGGGTCTTTATGCGTATGACGAGTTGCTTGCATCAATAGTCAAAGCAAGGGCAGAGTTACATATGAAGAACAGTTACGTGCTGGATGGATATTCTTATGCGTTTCAGATTTGGGTTATGGAGGCAATCCCGAACATTGGTATTATGGTGGGTAAGAAGCTCAAACAAAATGTCACCGCAGTAAGATGCATGAATTGGAAAGGAAGTGGTAAGGTATCTTATCAAGATATCACTAGCCTAGAGTCCCATTTTGATAAGGTAATTTTTTTCTTTTTATTTTGATTATTCAGTTTAGTTATCAAACAAATGCTCACTGCTTGTGGTTGTTCTTGTCAGGGAGTGTTCTTCCCATTTATAGATCCTACTGGGAACTCGAAAGTGATTGATGATGCTGCTTATATAAGAGAAGATGAGAAGAATGATGAAAGAGTTGGTCGTGTTGTTGATCTGCTAAATAAGAATCAAGACTGGACACAGTTCACTTGGGAACTTGAGCCAAAGCCTCAGAATTTCATGTTATCTGATGAAGAAGAGCTTGATGAAGATGAAGCTGCCCCAGTATCACCTGTGAGGGAACCACCTGTTGATGCAAGAAGGGGGAAGCGCAAGATAAATGATCCTGGTTCCGAGTCTAGAAAGAAGAACATGCTTTGTCAAAGAGCGGCTGAGCATAACAGCGGTGTATCAAGTGAAATGAAGAGTTTCATGGAAGGTTTGTTGACCTCTTCTTTCAGTTCTTTAAAGGAAGTGTTGCAGAAGGACATACAAGAGCAATTTCAGAAGGTCAACAATGAGATAGATCAGCTGAGGGAACAAATGTTTCACCTTACTGGTCCTTCAGATACAGTGGGAAAAGGTGAATGCAAAGCAGCTGAGACTCCAGGTTCAGGCAAAGCCTCTAAGATTCCGGGTTCAAGCTTATCGGTTCAGACTATGGTTTCTCCAGTAGCAAAGGAAAAAAGCAAAGGCAAGCAGGAAGGAAGCAAGGATCTTCCTACGGTTCGTCGCAGCCCTCAGACGCTTCAGATAAGATGTGGGAAGTGAGACAAGAAGGTAGGAGACTCACCGGAGGCTAGAAAAAATTCGCCAAAGCATATGACCTTCGAATCGGTGACATTGTCGTCTTCAAAAAGGAAGGAGACATGGTGTTCCATGTAACTCCTTTTGGTCCGAGCTGTTGTGAGATTAAGTATACACCTCCTCACATGATCAAGGAAGAAGCCGGCGCGGATGATGCTGCAGGTGAGACTAGTAAGTTTCAATAAAAACTCACTGTCTTCTTTTGATTAATTAAAATTTTTTCTTCTGTTTCAGGAGGGTCAGGAACAATGTCTTCTTTCTCATTTGAGTACTGCTTTTTGGCTGAGGTGACTGCTTCGAACCTAAAAGAAGCCAAACTTGTAAGTAGTTAGGTGTTTTCTTTCTCTATTTCAAATCTAAAGAAGACTAAATTATTATTTGTTATGTGTTTGCAGCATCTTCCTATGGAAGCTACGCATTATACTGCTCTGAACAAACAATGCCAAGAGGTGATACTTGTGAACAAGGAGGGAAACTCATGGACTGTGAATTTGATATTCAGCGAATCAGGGAGCATGTATTACATCAGAGGAGGGTGGACGAAGTTCTGTCGTGATAACAGATGTGACATAGGAGACTTGTTTGTCTTCAATGTCGTTGGAGATTGGATAACTGCTCCACTGATGTGTGTATGTCCGGAAAGAAAAGAGTGCAGGGAAATACTGAGGCAATATTCGAGCAGAAAGAATGTGTAGTTTGGTGGTTGTTTGTTTGCATGTTGGTTGTGTGTTGTCCCTTTGTTCTTCTTCTAATGCTATGTTATGACTTATCTTGTATTGTAATGACATTGCCATTGCTCTTCTTCTATGTTTAAGTTCCTATGTTCGTATGTTTGTGTGTATTGTAATGACATTGTCATTGCTCTTCTTCTATGTTTAAGTTCCTATTGCCATTGCTTAGTTCATATACTCCAGTGTCTCTTGGTCGTCCATGGTCGCTGGTGTTATTGCCATTCTACAAGAACATCATTTTGGGTGTGACCATCACAAGAACATTCGGTTTTATTAATTTACTTAGGAATACATTAAATCCCACCAATAATCCTAAGTCTAATTTTCTTCAACAAATCATTTTGGGTGTGACCAACATTAAGTCCCACCAATAATCCTAATTTTCATTAAAAGTCCTTAACATTGTCCTAAGCTAGAAATAATAATAAAAAACATTAAGGACCAAAAAAATAGGGACACCAATAATCTTACTCTTAGTTATGTATATCATCTACCCTAATTTGGCCACTTTTCCTCATCGTCTTTCTTTCTTCTTTTCGAAAAATATGGCGAACATGAACAACATTGAAGGAATCCCTCGCAGATACTGGTGTGGGAGGGGGATTGTCACTTACGTTTCAAAAACAGATGAGAATCCATACCGACGGTTCTTCAGATGTGAGATTGCTTTACAAGTAAATGTCATATATAAATACTTATAAATTCTTCTGTGTTGAGACTTAATTTGTTTTCTGTTCCGAATCAGAGAAAAAAAGAGCAACATCTTTTTAAGTGGGTGGATGAGGCTCTGTATGAAGAGATTCAAAAGATGGATGACCATCAAGCGTTCATGGCAAGAGAAATTGAAGATATGTGTGTTTCGTTGAAGATGCTGGAAGAAGAAGTTATGAAGCATAAAGCCTCTCGAGATGTTGGTTGTGTAGGATCCATTCTCAGTATTTTATGTCTATTTTCCAAATTCGATTGATATTTTTTAATGTTTTTCTATTTTTATCTACATTGAATAAGAACAAGTAATGGATTTCTAGTGTTATTGACATGTTCCAAAGACATCTAAATTCAATATAAATCAAAAACACTACTAAAATCAACATGAAACGGATCATGAATATGAAAGATAACTTGCAGAAAAACAAAAAACAGAGGTTTATGCCTAAAAAACATTCAAAAAGCAGAGGTTTAAATGAAAGAAGAGAGTTGAACATGAAAGAAAAACATGAAAGGACCGCATTCCTATATTGCTCTAATGAATCTTGTCCTGTTGTGACCTTCAATGCCACATCGACTGCATTTACGACGTTTAGAGCCTTGGGTTCCTTGTGAAGAACGGATCTTATCTTCAGCCGTCACGTATCTGCGTTTTCTTCTCCTACCTGCAGCTTGTCTAGTTGATGGAGGAAGGATTGTTGACTGGGCGATGTCAGATGGGACACTCCATGCATCTTCTGGAACACCAATAGGATTTATACTTTCTTCATAGACCGAGTTCCATGAGGCAGTGGTGTACATGTCGTCAGTGAGTGTGTGTGGTTGTATCCTTACACTGAAACATGCTTTTATAGCGTGCCTGCATGGGATTTTCATCAAATCGAACTTCCCACAACTACATGAGCGTGTGACCAAGTCAACCATGCAATCAAAAGAGTCACCTTGAACCAAAAAGCTATCGTCAGTAATTGGAAACACTCTAAACTTCTTACCCTTCTCAATCCTCCGGTCAATCTTCTTCTCCACAGCAATGGTCAGTGGCTGCGGATGCTTAGCACTTAAAGTTATACGCTGAAAAAACCATAGACTCATCATCTCTCTTATGCTGTCCAACACAGGTATAACCGGAAACTCTCTTGGCGAACGGAGAGCAGCATTTATGGATTCAGCAGGGTTAGTGGTCCTAATATCATACATGTAACCCGTAAAAGCACAACGAGCCCACTTTTTCACATCTGCTTCTATTAGGTAGTTGCCTATTAGAGGATCAATGGACCAAATAGCACTGAAAATCTTCTGAAAATCACCAACTCGATAGGCTTTAGAAGCCTTTGCAACCAAACCAGCGACGCCTTTTCCCTTGTAACTTGTTAATACATTGTTGATCAAGTGGTGAATGCAAATTCCATGATGAGATTGCGGATACACGTCCACAAGAGCTTTGCCAATTGAAATGTTCCTATCAGAGACAAAAGCTAAACTGTGATCATCAGCAACGACAACTTTAAGCTGTCTCATAAACCAGTCACATGAGCGGTGATTCTCGGAGTCGACAACTCCAAATGCAATAGGATATAGATTTGAGTTTCCATCCAAAGCAGTAGCAGCCAATAATACTCCTTTGTATATGCTTTTCAAAAAAGTTCCATCCAAAACAATAACTTTCCGAATGGCAGCATGAAAACCACGAAGTGACTGACCAAATGAGATGAAGAGGAATTTAAATCTCCCATTGGTATCGGTTTCATAGGCCGTGTGTGTTCCTGGATTAGCTTCCTTCATCATGTGCAAGTATTTGGGAATTTTAGCGTAACCTTGCTCAGGAATACCTCTCACTATGTCTATTGCGTACTCACGGGCATCCCATGCTAAAGAATATGATATCTCAACTCCATGCTCATCACGCATATAGCTGATGATGTCATTAGGTTTCGGACCTTCCTTAGTGCTTTCATACTTGTGCATTACGAGGGAACCAACAGTTTTTGCTGAAGCTGTGCGGACAGAATTGCTCCTTGATGATGGAGCACATGTATGATAAGGTACATACTTTCTGAAAATAAAATATGAAGACCCTGTTAATCCTTCTGCACGAACACGCCAGGTGCAATCATCATCTGCACAACGAATATACCAAACTTTTGTATCTGATTTGACAAGCTTATAGTCGAAATTGTGTTTCATTGCGCAGATTTCTAGTGTCGCCTTCAAAGCCAATTTGCTTGTAAAATGCTGACCCTTCTTCACAACACCAAGCAAAGAAAACCGGACAGGCTTTCCATTGATCATGTCTTGGTCATCCTTTTCCTCTAGGTTATCATCTTCTTCTTCAACCATGGTTTGATCATCAATAACGTGCACCACACGCTCTTCCTCTCTCTTAGGCGACTCAGTAGTCTCTTCTTCATTCAAGTCAAATTCGACGTTAATATTCCTTGTATCCACCTTAGATCGAACACACACACATAAGCGCGTAGAAGCTCTGATCTTCATATATGTTAGAAAGTTTTTGAGTTGCCTATCATTGGTGATGAAAACAGGTGGCGAGTTGATGCTATTCATCAAATCTGAAGGTAAGTAACTCAACTCGATATTGACCATGTCTAGATCAATTCCAAAGTCTTCACACACGATCAACTTCAGGTGTTCAAAAGATGAACTTGTGTCCACAGTTTGTAACCTACCTCCCTTTCCTTCATCAACAACAAATCGCCATCCATTGCTTACAGACGAGTTCCACGAACCACATGAAGTATACATGTGCATCTTCATTGTTAGATAGCGTGGAAGTGGAAGAACTAGAAGATTAGAAGAGGTTTTTTTCACGGTGAGAAGAAGAAGAAGACCCACGTTCAAAGCAAAATATATTTAAAAAGGAAATAAAAATATTTAGAGAATATTTACTTTCAGATTTTGCTAGATTTTCGGATGGTGGCTCATAAACCGTTGGTAGAAGATACATTCTACCAAATTTTCCATTAGTTTAATCAGTGGAAACGTAATCCCACGAGCGTAGACAAAACATTAAAATTAAGAAGATATGTACTGCCAAAGTAGACGCATGGGTCTTTATTATATGTTATGTTCTACTGAAACTGCATAACAAAGAAGGAATGTCAGTTATCATATTCTTCAATCGTAGATGTATATGTTTTTGGTGTATTACACATTCTAAGCCCTTTAGATGGATTAGTTGTTAGTAGATTGTACACTCTAAACAGCCGTAGATGGTAGATCTTATTTGCTACCCGATTTATCCAACTTTTGAAATTATTATTCCAAACATTTTTCGAATCTAAAAATATTTTTCATATATTCACATGCTACTCTATTTCATATTGTATATTTTTCTTCAATTTTTTACATTGTAAATTTTTTACTTTGAATTTTTATATACAAAAAGGGTAGTGAAGGTCCAAAAGTGCCAAAATTTGATTTTATTCTAAGGGGACAATAGTTGTGTTTTTCGATCCCCTTTTGGCAAATTTCCCCCTTTTTTTTTGTTCGTAGTAGTTTCTAATAGTTTAAAGTAGTTTCTACTAATTCAAGGTAATCCAAGGTAGTTTCTAGTAATTCATATTACACATAATACTGATTCATTAAGGATTATTGATTTTTTAACCACATTTCGACTTTAAGAAAAAAAAGAAAAGAATCAAATTTATGATGGAGCATATAAGAATTTTGTAAGAGTTAGTGGGGTATAATAGAAGAACAGTTCAATGTCTTCACTATTTTGGGCTTTTAATTAGGCCTTTGTAATAAAACTAAATTTTTAATGGGCCAAAGACTTTTTCTTGTCGGAGATTCTACAGACTCTGTCATGTTACAAAAAAAAAAAAAAAAAAAAACAGTCAAGAACTCGAGAAGCCATTTAAAGCTTCAAAGAGTGAAATAGATCATTAGTTACATTACATAATGATGATTATCATCTGCCATTCTAAACCACACAAGCATGGTCCAGTTGTAAGTCATATTTAGAAAGATTTTAAGTTCCCAAGTTCGAAACTCAACAAATTCAGATTTATGGATATCTAATTCCCAAAATTCTATTGGGAATAATTGGGTCTATCTGGTGCCAGACACGTCCCTGAGAGATTAGTCAGTTGGCTTTCAGCCTACCATATATCTCCAAGTCAATAGGAAAAAATAACTATAAACATTCCAAATTTCGATTCAGACTTTTTTTTGTCAATGACTTTAAGTGAAACTTTGGAAGGATTATATGTCTTCACTATTTGGATTCTTGATGGGTCAAAATCTTTTCCTTGTTGCAGTCATTCAAATTCTGGGAGATTTATATAAAAGAAGTTAGGAACTTGAAGCTTCAAAGATTGATAGAGTTCATTAATATAGTCATGATTATAATTTGCAAAGGTATACAAATTGATTGCTTTAGGTATTTCCCATGATAGAACTCGGGTTCCCTATCATGTATCTTGGCATGCCTCTCATGAGCCGTTAGCTGTGAACTGCTGATTATGATTCGCTGATACAGAAACTTATAAAAAAAAATTCGTAATTGGGCGGTGAAATCTTTATCCTTCATCCGAAAACTACTATTACTTAGCACTGTGATAACATGGACTGTCAACTTCTGGATATCAACAAATGGATCAGGTCAGGCTTTAGTGATCTCTTCTAGCTCTCTGAGCAAAAGGAGAGGCAGCGTTTTTAGAAGGTGGTTCAGGTTCAGCAGCTATGCGAGGAGGGAAAAACTTGGTTCACAAGGCTGGTCCTGGCAAAGCCGAATGAAACATTCGTCTAAAACTGTGCAACTTTAACTTTTTTTTTTTAGTATTCGCCTAGATTCAAACCAATTAGCAAATAATAGTATAAGATAAAGACTCAAATTATGAATAAAATTTTTGTGTGATAAAGAAAGATATGTGTTTGACATACTTTAGATGTTATGATGGTTAAGATTCTAAGGATTGATTCTTCAATCTTAAAAGTATAATTAGATTTTGATCTAAGATTTAAAGAGCATGATATTTTTATGATGAAAAATTGTATTAACAATATTTTGTCAATTTGTAAGAATTTTGTCAATTTAAAACATTTTTGCATTTAAATCATCTCATTTAAACATGACTTGTACCTCACGGTTGAACTGGTAAATCTGGTGATCCTATATCTAATCTGGTTTGGATTTGTAAGAAATATCCATTGCTGAAAAACCTGTTAAAATCCACACAAAAAACCGCTAAAAATCTGAGTTTAGCTGGTTGGACCGATGGGTAACCATTATAAAATCCTATATAGTAATATTTATTGTCATATCTATATAATTATATGAAAACTAAAATAGGATAATCGGTTATGTTTATTTTTTAAATTTTAAAACTGAAATTAGGTATAATTAATCTTTTTAATTTGTCTCACATTAATTAATGCTTATTGTAATATGTTATGAATTCATAATAAACATGATCAAATATTTTTTCCAATTTACTTTGTATTTGATAATTATTTTGTATGTCTCGTAGAATAACCCATAAAACTTTTAAGTTATAAACATCAAACATAATTTTTAATAATATAATCCAATATTAGAAATATTAGTTAAAATTTATTATTTTTCTTTTAAGTAAATATTTTTTGTATCCAAGTAATTATATTGATTTTTATTTTTAAAACTTTTTGAAGTAAATACAAGCATTATCTGATAAAAATTGCAGCATATCTTTTTATATCACGTTTTGTTATTTAGTCTAGATTTGATTTATTGTGATTCATAATATTTCCATATTGAGATTATGTTTTGCAAAAATTTAATGGTACAAATTTTAAATTATTTTAAATAAGTAATATCAATAATAAAATTAAATGGTAGTGGCATGTCAATATAAATAATCTTAAAAGGTAAGGACAAAATCATATTATGATTTTGCTTTAATAATATATATATATGAGATTATTTTTAAATATTTTTTATTCTAAATTAAATTGGCAATAATAACTGAACATTTCATGTTTGTGAAAGAAGAAGAAAAATAAAAAACAAATACAAATACAAATATGAATACTTATGACATTCATAAGTAAAGATTCAAAAGGAGTTAGCGACACTTGTTAGAGATATTCTAGCAATTACATTCTCATCACATTTGTCTGTATTTACAGTAGAATCTCTATAGAATATTAAGACTTTGAAGTTTTATTAATTTATAGAGATATTAATTTACAGAAATTTATTTATTTAGATATTTCTATTTTAAGATATATATTTATTTTGAGATAAGAAAAATATTTGATTTTAGTGTATAGACATTAATTATTATTCTTTAAAATTTGATATTTATATTAATTTTATTACATTATTTGGTGTATATTAATATATACTACATAAAATGTAAATCTGATTTTAGATATAATATTATTAAATGTCATAAAATATATTAAGTGTTAAGAACATATAAAAGTAATTCCATTGTGAATATAAAACAAACAATATAATGATAGGTTCTTAATTATATAAAATATTTATACATATAAATTATTAATTTACAGATTTAATGGGATCATATCTTTACATATAATTTTCTTTAAAAAATATCATCATTTTTATCGATTTGTGTCATCTTTTGAACCGTTCCAAGTTGGGCCCGAAGAAATGTAGTATTCACTTTATTTCAATATGTTTGATATTTTAGATTTTTCACACATATATTAAAACACATAATAAAGGTATACTTTTGTGATTATCTTTTTTCTATAAATCTAAACCAATAAGTACAATTAAGCTATCTGAAAGTTGTAATTAACAATTATTAGTTGACAAAATATGCATTAAAAATATATCTTTTTGAAACAAATATTTTTTTTTCTAAAACATATGACATTTTGAAACAAAAGAATAATTTATAGTATTTATTAATTTATCGAGTATTAATTTATAGAAGTTTTATTATATTAGTTTAGCCTAGTCTTGTTGGTTGTATGTATATTGGCAATTGTCATACCATTGTAAGATATAGAAACATATATTCTCTAGAACACTTATTTGGGTCTTGCAAGTTTGATACAGCTCTCGGAAAGCTTTAAATGAAGTTGTATATCGCTAAGATCATTTTGGGATTTAAAAAAAAAAAAAAAAAAAAAAAAAAAGATCATTTTGGGAGTTGCTTGCCGCACATGTTTTCACCCGCTCAAGGCTTCCATTTGGTTCCCTTATCTCAACTAATATTATCGAAATAGAAGCACAATTTGGAAATAACTTTGGTATATCATGTGATATTACCACATTTAGAATTTTGAAGTAATTCTGTGTAAAAAAATCATTTCACGCGAATGTTTATGTGGTGCCTCCCTCACCGTGGCGATTATTTTATAAACCACCTAAATAATTCTATACTACTAGGTGCTTTCTTTCATCATATGCAGTGGTAAAATTTTTAAAAACTTTAATTAAATTAAAATATTTTTGTTAATAATTTAAATCTTATTAGTCATATCAATATTTTCATATAATTTTTTTTAGTTAAAAATATTTAAGATAGAATAGTATGCATATATTTAAAATTATAATCTTATATAAAAAATTATTTATTTTCTTTGGGATAAAGTATTATAAATCAACTTAGATAAAACTGAAAAATATGATATAAAAATGTGTAATTATTAAAAATAAAAATAAACAGAATGTTTATAATTTGTAGATATCAAAACGAAACAGATGGTATTAATTAGAAATTTATAATTTTAAAAAGAGATTGTATAAAATTTTGAAAATATTTTTTGTAATAAAAATTGTAGGATTGTAAAAATAGACTAAATAATATTTTAAATTTGTAAAGATTTTATATCTAATTAATTTCATATTTAAATATTTTTAATAATGATTTATGAGTTATTATTATATTTTAAAAATTTACCAAAAATAGAAATGAATATCAAATGTAATTTGTTCATATCGTATTTTACTTTAAGCCATGTCATATTTTCTACTATTCCATGTCACCATTTTTATTGAAAGTGATTGTAGTGATAACACATTGTAAATCACTTGTCAGATAATGTATAAAAGATTATAATGCTAACAAAATTATAATATTATAATAACAAATTACTTTGATGTAAAAATATTATTTATAATTATAAAATTAGTATATTATAGCTTAAAATTTTATTCAAATTAGTATTTATAAATAATGATATTTATCTATTATAGTATAATTATTTAGTATATTGTTATAAGTTATAACTAATAAATGTCTAAACTGATTAACTAATAATTTAAGCATTAATTGCTATGATTGTATTAGGGGTAGGCAATCCATAAAATTAGATTTGATATGTTATCCGTTTCGATTTAATCTGATTTTTTTTTTAGATATTAATAAAGCTTATATGCTATTTGTTTCTTTAAGAATGATTTATTTTAAAGAAAATAAGATCTATATGCTTATATGCTATTTTTTTATTTCAAAAAAGAAAAAGAAAATAAGATCTAAATTTACAAGAAAATCATATTAAAACAATTATATTAAAATGTTGAGGTACTTTTTGGATTTGTAACCATAGAGGGAGCCTTTAAGTCAATGAGATCGTCAGTTACATATATACAACTTTCACCAAGATTGTTTTTTTTAATGTCTCTCTTTTTAGTCGTTTTCAAGGAAATATATATACCAAATTCTCCCTAACTATATATGATGAGTACTTTGATCATGTGAAAAAATATCTGCACATATATCCGCACATTTTCATCAACAAAGTGGCAGAGACAACAAACTCTGAGGTAAATCACTCGGTCTCAGCTCCTTCTGTTTCTCTTGTGCGTTTTGTCGATAATGACGAATTTATGTTTCTTGTGGGTTTTTTTTCGTACGTGAGACAATGGTTTTTTCATACTCTTGTAGGAAAATACAATGGTGTTCAACGAGATGGGACGTAGCAACACAGGATTCTTCTTCTCTGATGATAATGGCTACACTGATGATGAGTTTGACGTGGATAAGCTTGAGAAGAGGATATGGAGGCAAGAAATGCGCCTAAAACGTCTAAAGGAACGTAGCAAGAATAAAGAAGGAAATGATGAGCAACTGATCTCAAAGTACATGTTTAAGATTATGGAAGTGTGTAACGTTCAAGGCTTTGTTTATGGGATCATTTCCGAGGAAGAAAAACCAGTGATAAGTGCTGCTTCTGAGAATCTTCAAGAATGGTGGAAAGATAAGGTCAAGTTTGATCTTAATGGTCCAGTTGCTATATCACAACACCAAGAATCTAATAATATGATTCGTAGCAATATTGCAAATCGACAAGCTCGAAAATCGCTAAGAGAACTTCAAGATCCGACTCTCAGACGGCTTTTATCAGCATTGATGCCACATTGTGATCCTCCACAGAGAAGGTTTCCTTTTGAGAAAGGAGTTAGACCACCATGGTGGCCTACAGGGGAAGAGTATTGGTGGCCTAAAGATCAAGGTCCTGCACCGCCTTATAAGAAGCCTCATGATTTGAAAAAGTCATGGAAAATTGGTGTGTTGACGGCAGTTATTAAGCATTTATCTCCTGGTACAATACGTGAGATTGTTACTCAAACTAAAGGCTTGTGGAGTAAGATGACTACTAAAGAAAAGGACATTTTGTTTAATGTTATTGACCAAGAAGAGGCTTCAAAATATGAGAAAAAGTTGAATACTTCAAACTTTGAGATGGCTAAAATGCAAAGGACTAGAATGATGAAGCCGGAGAGCGATCAGAACATGTATTTCAATCTTGGGTTTCAAGACAAGAACTCACAAGTAAACAACCAACCGGGTTTCCCAAACCGAGATGGTCTTTTCGCATCATCCAAGTTCCATGTCAGTGAAGTTACAAAGCCAGTTTGAGTTGATGTCAGTGAAGTTAAATATATTGTAATAACTTTGAAAATTATGGCCATATATTTTATACTCTTTAGCATAATAAGACCTTGATCAAAAAAGCAAAATAAGACCTAATTTTCTAAGGAGAAAAAAAAAAGACTTTATGCAAATGTGTCTGAGCACGTGGGTTAAGCAGGCACTGACGTAATCTTAAATCGTCATATGGAAGGGTTCCTATTCACTTTTAGGTCACAATAAAAAGTAAATTTCTGTTATCAAAATTAAAACTTACGTGTTTCTGATATAATGCAATTACGATTTGGTTTTCCAAGTTCAGGGAAAAAATTTACACTCGAACGAAAATTCAGACGAAGCCAATTATAGCTAGGATTGGAATTAACCAATTGATATTTAAATAAACTGGAACTAAAAATAGCTGTGACCGGTTAAATGTTCGACAACCAAATTAAATTTAAAAAAGTTAACCGTAAAATTTTTACCAAACCATCTGAACTTTTACGGAAGTACGAAAACAGTTATCTATCTATACGAAAACAATTATCTGTATCTGGTTCATAGATTACAACTCTAACCAGACAAAAATTTTAACTAACAGTTGTTGGGTCCACTCGTAAGCAGGAACCCTCCAAAAATAAGTGTATGCCACTTGGCATGGAGAGCACACGGTATTCTTTAGTAAAAGGCGAAAGAATAATTCGCTTTGTACTCACCACATGGCTGCGTGATTTTCTTACGGATGATAGAGACACTATTTATAATGCGATTATTCTACTACTTACTCCAAATGTTTTGATGTGGGACTCTTAAACAAATTATCTATAGTATTAGTAGCACTTACATATGTAAAAGTTTTCGTGGGCTTTATTGTGCCAAAATACTTTGGGCTTTAAACATAGATCGTTGTCTTTTTCTTCTTTTTGTTAATGCAATGGTCAATGAGTTTCGTCAGGCTTCTTTAGGGACTGATGATGCTGATGAAACTGCCCCAGTGTCTTCAGCTTGCTGTCTGCTCTACAGTTTTGGTATCATTTGGTTGTTCCACAATGTGAGTTCTCAAAAGTAACATTTACTTGCTTTGCTAAAAGCTGAGCATTATGTTTTACATAATTGTTTGTTTTAAACGCTGAGCATGATCAGATTGGAACCTATGGACACTGAAGTGAAGGGACAAAAGGGGGCAGTCTACAGAAAATGTACAAGGTCTGGTGAAGGCGTTCATCCAGTGGAGCTACAAAATGTAGGACCGCGAAAATCCTGATTGAAAATCACGAAATAGAAATCGTATAACGATAAGATGAGACGGAAAAAACGTTTAAGAAATCATTAAGGAAATAGACGAATTCGTTGAGTCGAGATTTGATCTCTTTCCTTAACTCAATAAATCGCCCGTAATGTGAGACGGTTTAGATGCGATTTTTGAATCCCAGGATACAACCACGATGAGACTGTTTCGCTGCACCCGAAAACAGAATCTACGAACTAACTACTACGCTATACTCTCGAGACTTACTTTAAGAGAAGACTTGGGTTTTTACTGGAACTGTTNTTTCCTTAACTCAATAAATCGCCCGTAATGTGAGACGGTTTAGATGCGATTTTTGAATCCCAGGATACAACCACGATGAGACTGTTTCGCTGCACCCGAAAACAGAATCTACGAACTAACTACTACGCTATACTCTCGAGACTTACTTTAAGAGAAGACTTGGGTTTTTACTGGAACTGTTTGTTGTTTGCTTTTCAGTATGAGAAACAATGAAGAGGTTAGGCGTCTATTTATATAGAAAGGTTCGCCTAGAATAAAGAATAATTCCAGAAATATGCCAGAATAATTCCAGGAATATACCAGAATAATTTCAGGAATATACCGGAATAATTCCAGGAATATGCCGGAATAATTCCAGGAATATACCGGAATAATTCCATGAATATTCTTTATTTTAGGCGAACCTTTCTATATAGATTAATTCAAAGTGGGTTCTTCATTGGTTTGACTTCAGTAAGATACCTAGCCACTCTCGAGACTTACTTTAGGTTTGTATTTTCATTGGTTCCCGAAAACAGAATCTACGAACTAACTACTACGCTATACTCTCGAGACTTACTTTAGGTTTGTATTTTCTGTTTACATAAATACAAACCTAAAGTAAATCTCGAGAGTATAGCGTAGTAGTTAGTTCGTAGATTCTGTTTTCGGGTGCAGCGAAACAGTCTCATCGTGGTTGTATCCTGGGATTCAAAAATCGCATCTAAACCGTCTCACATTACGGGCGGTTTATTGAGTTAAGGAAAGAGATCAAATCTCGACTCCACGAATTCGTCTATTTCCTTAACGATTTCTTAAACGTTTTCTCCGTCTCATCTTATCGTTATACGATTTCTATTTCGTGATTTTCAATCAAGATTTTCGCGGTCCTACACAAAATGTTCCGCAGATCCCACTTTTGTTTGAGATAATTAATATGTGGTCTAACATTTATTCTAGACATCACATCTCTAACTTTCAACTCCTTAGCTAGCTTTGTCAAGTGCATTTCACAGAAAATGGAACTCGAAGGAGATGTAAGCGGGAGACTAACTTGAGAAGATGGCTTTCTGTGTACATATAGAGAAGAGAGTTAAAAACTCTTGCTGCTGTTTGATTTTGTGACATTAACTAAATGTCTCCTTAATGGTTTTTTCTTCTTTTATCTACTCAAGAGTGACGACATTAAGCCAATCAATATCTAATATTAAAACCAAAAAAACAAGCCTGTTGTAAATCAAGAGGCTATGTAGTACAAATCAAAACCAAAACTATAATTTTAAGTTATTAAGAAAGAATCCGTAATATCAAAGTAGCTATTGGATCCTAACACCAAACAGCATAAACCCTCCTTTCATCTCCTCTGGTTTGGTTTCTTCATCTTCTAACTTCGAGTTAAAGAAGTCTCTTGTTTTCGTTTCTTCCCTATGAACCATTTTGTTTTCTTCCTTGGGAGGCACGAAACCCTTGTGATCAACATCAATCATCAAGAACTTGTTGCTTTGCCCTTCTATATTTTTGAAATTACTCGGGACTTCACAAGCGTAAAAAACAATAACATCTTTCTCTTTCAGATTCTTCTCCTTGACGAAACCATTCCATCCTCTGGTGAAGACAAAGCTCTGGCTACTTCTCCAGTAACAATACCTAAACTTCCATTGTCTCATCGTACTGTCATAAAACACAACCTCAACATCATCCACAGCTTCACCCTCTTCTTGATCGTCGCTTATGGAAGGTAAATGCTTCACTGCATACTTCTTTGGTATCACAAGCCTGTTCAGTTTTCCAACATCGCTCGGTGTCAGTTCCTTGTGAAAAAGCTGCGTGCAAGAGAAACACTTGTTTGGTTCTTGTTGACTCTGTTTTGATCCCATGATGTTGAAGTTGGCCATACGAGATCTTGACATGACATGATCTATGAACTTGTGTTGGTAAGAACCGTCTCTGATCATGTTCAACACAGCTTCTGTCGTGTAGCGAACTTGAAAGTCAGGTTCGTGGACCGTGATTTCAGACCAAGGGAAGTTTCGGTGAGAGTTAGCATCAAAGCTTCGGAGCTTGATAGATGCGCTATCATAAGCAGCGGCGGCTTCAGCAGCGGATTTGAAAGTCCCGAGCCAAATCCTTCGATGCTCTGCGTATATCTGAGCACCCCAGTGACCGTTTTGCTGCTGAACAACACCTTTGTATTTTGTTGTCGCCGTGTTGGGCAAGGCAGTTCTTCTAGGTTTCATGCGTTTGGACAGATCCAGGAGAGAGTAATTACTTGAGCCTGAAGTCTCCGTTGTTGTCTTGGCTTCATTGCTTATCTCGTGGAGGATAACCATTCAAACAAAAACAAAACAAATCCAAGAGACAGACGGCAAAAAGAAAATAGAGGAAAAGAAGAGAGTATTTTGAAGGAGAGATATGAAGCAGTATTATGTTACATGTTGTATCATTAATTATCGTTGATTGTTTAGAATGTTACAGTTTCCATACTTGTTCTTGTTTCTAGTTTTTGACAGAGTAATTAATTACACCAGAAGCTATTAGTGGAAAGTTACCTTGTTACTCAGATTCTCTTTTGTCAGATTTATTTTCTTGGAAGATAAGTAAAATTTCCTTGAGGATTACGAAAGGAAATATTAATTTAACGAATTATTTTTGTCTTAATTTAGACATTCGTAGCTGCTCTAATATCATCTATTCATGTCATGTTTTTCCTGGTTCTTGTTACATCTGCAAAAAACTAATGATCAACATTTGACAGTTTCTTTACATGCATATATTCAAATACGAGGAGAAAAATTATTTTCAAAATTTTCTTGACGTTTAAGACAGAAAATATTGTTGTTAACAAAAAAATGTTTAATTTAAATCGTCGTGCTAAGAGCATCTGCAATGGTGTTATCCATGGGAGTCCTTAGTTTTTGATTTTTAATTATTATTTTTCTTTTTCAGATTAAAAAAAAAAATATCAATCAATCGCGGGTCGCTTACGTGTCGTGGATGCCTCTAAATAGTGCAAGTATTCACTAAGAAAGAGTACTTATTTAAAAAATTTAAAGATCAAATCTTTTTTTGGTAGAATCCACTAATTATTTAATTATTTTTTCCCTAAGGATTCCTCTTTCAAGATCTATGTTGCGGATGCTCTAATACTATCCATAATGAGAGTGTTGAAAACTCATTCCAACTGTGTTGAAACCTTTACAATGAAGGGTTGATAAATTTGGTTTATCTATGTGGTGTAAACATTCGTTGCAAAATTTCAACATGTTAGAAACTTTTTTTTTGTGGCCCACTACTGCCACATGTCGTTTCTTGATTGATTAGGAAAATTTCTTTTGTTTTATCTTTTCACCTAATAATTTAAATGTATTTTTTATATAATATTTTTTTTAAAAAAATATAAAAATAATATCAAATATCAATTTTTTTCTTTTATTAATAAAGACTACTTTCATTTTATTTGGATACCAACAACAAAACGTCCTTTTTAGTATAATAATTTAAAACAAATATTATTAAAAGTTAACTTTTAGTTTTTATTGATCTTAATATTACTTAAAAATAAAGTTAGTATAATAATTTAAAATAAATATTATTAGATTTTATATTATTTTAGTTTTAAGTTAAATATTAATATTTAATTATTATGTTGTAAAAAAAAATTAAAAATTGTGGGGTAGGGTGTTGAAATTTTTAAAACAAACCATTGTAGATGTTTAAAATGAAATGAGTGTTGAATAAATTAAGTAGAAGAGAAAGAAGATGATGTAGAATGGATGTTGAAAGTAGAGAGATGTTGAAACCATTGTACATGGTCTAATATCATGTTGTCATGTGGTTTCTTGTTATTTCTGAAAAAACTGGTGATCAGCATTTGACAATTTCTTTACATGCATATATATTCATATACGAGCATTATATACAAGATTAATGCGTAAATCTCTATTTGTATTCCAACCATGGGGGAAAAGAACCTTATATTGTGTGTGCAGTGTGCGCATATATGAAAGATAGCTATAAATATTACTACAAGACGTATAAACTAAAAACAACTTCGTGTATATATTTCTTTCTTTATTTTGTAAATAACTTCGTGAATATATTTGTTGGTATATACTATATACTATATACTATATACTATATGTAAGCTCAAGTTTCTGAGCATGACGATTGGGGTGTCACACAGATAGCAGACTCTGTTACACACAAGTGAGCTCAAGTGTGTTTGAGCGTAAAGGTTAAGGTGTCACACAACGTGGAGCGTGTGTTATACAAGGGGCGAAATACAAGGAAACCGTTTCAGAAGATAATGATCCAAGATTTTAGGATATTTGTTAGGCAATAAATAAGGAGATATTGGGAAGATTCTTACTTATCACAATAGGATACGTTTGGGTATATATTAGTGATAGAGTTCATTTGGTTAGGTTACGGCTTTTGCGATTTTCATTGTCATCGAGCTTTAGTGTTTCTAAGCTGCGATTCTGGTTAGCAATTGGTGAGGCTTGTCTCGACCTTTGTGCTTTGGGTAGATTAAGAATTGGTCTGTCTCTAGTCAAGCTGTGACGTAGAGTAAATCGAATTAAACAGATCTAGTGAGATTGTTTAAGTGATTCTTAATAAAGCAAGTTAGTTTTTTCTTGAAACTACTCGTGTTATTCTTTTGTGGTATCCATACAAACTTTCAATTGGTATCAGAGCGGGTCACCTCTGTGGACGTGTTTGTCTACTCACAGGTTGAGATCTTGCGACAGTCATGGAGACCATGAAAGAACTAGTGGCTCTGCAAAAACCAATCATGCTTGATGAAGGAAACTTTGGCCACTGGAAGGCGAGAATGCGGCACATTATTAGAGCTATTGACGAGGATGCTTGGACTGCTGTTGAACAGGGTTGGACTGCACCTACAATGGTGATGGAAGACAAATCAATAGCACTCATGCCTAAAGAAAAATGGACTGACTCTGATAAAGCTGCTTCAAAATTCAATTTAAAGGCGCTCACTACCATTTTCTTTGCTGTCGATCTCGATCAATTCAAGATTATTCAAGGGTGTGAATCTGCTAAAGAAGCTTGGGATACTCTAATCAATCACTTTGAAGGAAACACCAGTGTTAGAAGAACTAGAATCGATCACCTTGCCTCAAGATTCGAGAACCTGCGAATGGAGGATGATGAGTCAATTGGAAGTTTCATCTCCAAGATCAGCTCAATAGCAAATGAAGCTTCAGTTCTCGGCAAAAACTATAATGCGAAGAAGCTTGTTAAGAAAGTTTTGCGATGTCTTCCTCCTAGATTTGAAGCATACAAGGCGGTTCTGAAGATAGCAGTGAATACGGATGAGATGAAGTTTGATCAGTTAGCTGGAATTCTGAAGGTACATGATCTGGAACGAAGTGAAAAAACCACCAAGGGACAGAAAGGAGTTGCATTCACAGCAGAATCCAAAGAAGAAGACAGAGTAAAGCATATTAAGGAGAATATGAGTCTCATGGCTAAGAATTTCAACAAGATGATCAAAAGAGTAGAAAAAGGATGCTATCGCAACAACAACCGATTTCAAGGGAGAGAAGGAGATCGCTCATCTGGACAACAAAACATAAGCGAAGGTGGAAGAAGTAATCGTAAAAAGGATCTGAAGTGTCATGAGTGTGAAGGGGTTGGGCACTTTCGAAGTGAATGTCCTCTAGCCAAGAGAAAGGAACTCAAATGCATCGAGTGCAAAGGATATGGTCGCACCAGGAGTGAGTGTCCTAACAATCTGAAGAAAGATAAAGCATTGTTATCATTCAGTGATACCGAGTCGGAAAGTGAGAGTGATGATGAAGAACTCATGCTTAATTTTGTTTCTCACGTGGAACACGACAATACTCAAGACATCCTTTCAAGCTCAGACTCAGATTCAGATTCAGATCATGAAGGCAAGAAGAAGGAGTTGAATCTAAAGACAGAGTTTAAGAACTTGTTTGACAAGTTTACAGAGTTAAGTCTTGAAAACTTACAGTTGATCAAAGACAAAGCAATGCTCAAGGAACAAGTCAACATTCTTGAACTCGACACTCCTATTATTGAAGGAAAGAATACAGTTAGTACCTCAGAAAGTGAGAGAAATCCTGATATACAATTGCTTGAAAGAACCGTCACTGATCGGGCTCGTTCCTTGAAGAATTTGGAGACCAAGTATGATCAAGCCATGTTGCTGCTGAATGAGGAGCTTGAGAAGAGCCGGTTATTGCAAAGAGAATTGAGCGACAACTACAAGAAGATGAGGATGCTCAACAATGGATCAGATACCTTGGACCATATTCTTTCGCTTGGACAAAACCCAAAGATTGCCTCTGGTCTAGGCTATCAAGGATTTAAAAGTTCAGGTAGCAAAGATGTAAGGTTTGTTAGGAGTGGAGCACCAGAAACACGTACTGAGATAGAGAAAGGAGTGGTACACCAGAAAGATGTTGAGACAACTGTGAAGAAACTGGTACCACACAGACGCAATGGATGTCACTTCTGTGGCAAACAAGGACATAGAGTTGCATACTGCTACTTTCGAAGAGCTCAGTGTCAACGAGCATGGGCTCTCAACAAGTGCTACATCGAACCAAGCCGGATTGGGTATGTGTGGATTGCCAAAGAAGATCTTTATCCTAACTTCAAAAACAAAACACCAACACCTCCTACAAAAACTACTGAGACAGAAACTTACACTCAGAGATCAGGGAAGGAAGTGATGTGCAATCTGGTCAGAATTGAAGAGTATGTTGAAGAGGATGTCATTGAAGTGTCAAGCTCGGCCAAGGTCGCTTTCACCTCTACTGAAGAACACTCTGTCGTTGAGATACCTTGGTACTTTGATAGTGGTTGCTCAAGACACATGACATGTAATGAAAAGTTTCTGAAAGTTATGGAACATGTCAAGGAAGGAAGAGTGATATTTGGTGATGGTGGAGAAGGAAGAATCCGTGGTGTAAGATATATGGAAAGAGCTGATCTTCCAAGACTGAGAAATGTTTACTTTGTGGAGGGACTTAAATCAAATCTCATAAGCATCAGCCAGCTGTGTGATGAGGGGTTACAAGTCATCTTCAACAATAGAGAGTGTCAAGCAATTGATCCTCAAGGAAACCTGGTCATGTGTGGATTTCGATCAAACAACAACTGTTATTTCTGGAAACCACCAAGTAGGTGCTTGTCAATAAGGGACTCGCAGCTAGACTTATGGCACATGAAGCTTGGACATATGAACACCAATGGACTCTCAAGACTGGTGCGAGCTGATGTAGTTCGAGGAATACCTAATCTTGAAGATCGCTCTGACACAGTGTGTGGTGCTTACTGTCAAGGTAAACAAGTCAAAGTTCAACACAAACAGGTATCGCAAATTCATTCTAAGTCTATTTTAGAACTTATTCATATGGATCTCATGAGACCTATTACACCTGAAAGTATTGTTGGAAAGCGATATATTTTTGTTTTAGTTGATGATTTTTCTAGGTTTACATGGGTTAGATTCTTGAGGAATAAGTCGGATGCAATTGAGAGCTTCAGGATTCTAGCACTCCAACTCAAACAAGAGAGAGGTGGAATCATCAAGATCAGAAGTGACCATGGAGGAGAATTTCAGAACGATCAGTTTGACACATTTTGTGAAGATCAAGGCATTCAACACCAATATGCAGCACCTCTAACACCTCAGCAAAATGGAGTAGTGGAGCGCAAGAATCGAACACTCTAGGAGATGGCTCGACCCATGCTAGCAGGAAACAGAGTACCTTCCGGATATTGGGCCGAGGCTATCAACACAGCATGCTATATCATCAACAAAGTGTATGTAAAGCCTAAGACAAAGACAACACCTTACGAGATACTCAGGGGTAAAACGCCAAATCTCAGTTACTGTCATGTCTTTGGCTGTCTTTGCTACATTCTAAACGACAAAGATCACCTAGGAAAGTTCGATTCCAAGAGTGATGTGGGAATGTTTCTTGGCTACTCAACAAACAGTTCGGCATATCGAGTGTACAACTCAAAGACCAAGACTATTGAAGAGAAGGTGAATGTTGTGTTTGATGACAGAGTGGGTTTCTACCAAGACGGTGTAACACAGCGAAGTGTGTGTGTTCCACAACTCGGCAACGAAGAAGAAAACAGAAATATCGGTGCATCAGATGACACTGATCTACAAGAAGGCACTTCTCAAGAATCGGTCAAAGTACACAAAAATCACTCTCAGATGATGTTATCGGAGGTTTGCTAGATCCTAGAGTCACAAGGAAAAAGCAAATCGATTTCAAGGAAATGGTTAAGCTTGCGTGCCTCATGGCTGAGATGGCTAAGGAAGATTGCTTCATTTCACAAACCGAACCAAAGACCTTGAAAGAAGCACTAGATGATGAGTTCTGGACAGCCTTAATGCATGAGGAGATGGAACAGTTTGTGAGACTTCAAGTATGGGATCTAGTTCCTAGACCAGAAGGTGTTAATGTTGTCGGTACCAAGTGGATATACAAGATCAAGACTGATGAGAATTGTAATCCTATTAGAAACAAGTCAAGGCTAGTTGGACAAGGCTATTCGCAGATTGAAGGAGTGGACTTCGATGAGACCTTTGCACCAGTAGCTCGCCTTGAGTCAATCAGACTCTTGTTTGCAATCGCTTGTCAGTTGAGAATCAAGCTGTATCAGATGGATGTTAAGAGTGCCTTTCTCAATGGTCTGTTACAAGAGGAAGTCTATGTAGCACAACCTAAAGGGTTTGAGGATCCACATTTTCCAGATCATGTGTATCGTCTAAAGAGGGCACTCTATGGCTTGAAGCAAGCTCCAAGGGCATGTTATGAGAGATTAGCACAGTTCTTGATCTCGGCAGGCTTCAACAGAGGAGGGGTGGACAAAACATTATTCACTCAACATGATGAAGACAATCTCCTTGTAGTGCAAGTGTATGTAGACGATATCATCTTTGGAAGCACTTCAAAGGCATTGGTTGATGAGTTTGTGAAGACTATGACACGGGAATTTGAGATGAGTATGGTGGGAGAGCTCAACTACTTTCTTGGGCTACAGATAAGACAGATGGAGGATGGAATATTTGTCTCCCAAAGCACCTATGCTAAGAATCTAGTGAAAAGGTTTGGAATGCAAACCAGCAAGACTGCTAGGACTCTGATGAGCACAACAACCAAGCTATCACGTGATGAGGCAGGACAAAAGGTAGAGGAGAAACTATACAGAGCCATGATATGTAGTCTTCTCTATCTCACTGCCAGCCGACCAGACATGTGTCTGAGTGTCGGAATTTGTGCTCGATACCAGGCAGCTCCTAAAGAGTCACACTTAAAAGCGGTAAAACGTATCATCAAATATGTTAAAGGGACACTAGATTTTGGACTTCATTATACCTTTGAAACTAATGTGAACCTTACAGGATATTGTGATGCAGATTGGGCAGGTTGTGTTGATGATCGGAGAAGCACTTCTGGTGGTTGTTTCTTTCTTGGTAACAACATGGTGTCTTGGCACAACAAGAAGCAAAACTGTGTTTCTCTCTCAACTGCTGAAGCTGAATACATCGCTTTAGGAAGTTGTTGCACTCAACTTCTCTGGATGAGACAAATGCTGGTGGACTATGGTATTAATTCTGATCCCTTATTAGTCCATTGTGATAACATGAGTGCTATAAATCTATCAAAAAATCTTGTGCAACATTCTCGTACTAAGCATGTTGATCTTCGACACCACTTTGTTCGTGAGTTGGTTGAGTTAAAACTTGTAGTCATTGAACATGTTTCTTCTGAGAATCAACTTGCTGATATTTTCACAAAGCCTCTTGATTTTAATAGCTTTTTGGGTCTCCGAAAAGCTCTTGGAATCGCTGATCTTCAGCAATGAAGAAAGCTGCTCTGTCGAGAAGGTAAGTTCATATCGAAATCGGATGTGTCTAAGGTACCTTCTCCCCTAAAACCTTATAGTAAAAATTTTTCTAGTTGGAGTCAAGATACTGTTTTATAAGCTGTCACGATCACACTGTCTCATAGTGAAGGACACTCACTTTGGATCAGGATGCTACAACATTTTGACACTGAGGAATGATCACTATCTGGAGTGGATGGAGAAAACACTAGTCATGTCGTGTGTAACACACCCGATAATGTGTGTTACACAATTAACTCTTGGCTTCACAGGAGTAAGGCCTAAAAGGATAAGTACTCGTTCTGAATCAGGGTGCCACAACACTTTGTCTTTTGGTGACGATCACTGCTTTGATTAGGCAGAGACTTTTGTCTCTGAAGGATTGAAGTTAAGAAGTAGAAGAAGAATCGTTCATAAGGCCTGAAGTGATAAGCACTCATCGTGGAATAGGGTATTACCATACTCTACGTCTATTTTGATCACTGTTTTGATCAGGCAGGAACTGAAATATGTTCTTGTCGCTAATCTTAATAAAAAAAGAAAACAAAATGTTGAAAAGATTCACTGAAGTTGCAGAGGTGAACATCAATAGACATGACTGGTGGTTTCAGAAGTGTGTGATTGTGATTAACTTGTGAGATAGGAGCTTGATTATCTAGCTAGATGAATCCGTTTGTGACAGCTACTCAGCTGAGAAATAGCTACAGATTGGAGTTACTATATTGATTTCTATTCGTTTTTTTGATGGTTACCTAGACATGTGTGAGACTAGATGTGAACTTGCAATCTTGTTGGAACAGCAGTTAGGAGCATGTAAATAAATTTTCGTGCAATTGTTAGTGCATAAATAAAGTTGGTTCTTAGAATAGGCATGTTTGATTAAGACTAGAAGATGTCACTGACACGACATATGTGTCCTGTTTAGAATGTTAATCACAGAAGTTCATATATGAAAAGGAAACTCGGTTAAAAAGGATTAATGGGCTTGTTAGAGTTTAGTCTCGAAATGGGCTTAATGGGCACTAATGGACCTTGCAAAAGGAGTTGTTTTTGTTTGTGTCTTTGTCTCTCATTAGGTCATCTCTCGCCGCCGTACACCCTCTCTCGCTTCATCTCACTCAACATGCATAAACGAACGCAATCTCGTCAAGGTGCTTCTTCCTCTCCACAAACTCCCTCCTCCAATCCGAACTATAGCACTCCGAAGAAATCTCGCTCTGAATCCGGCGAATCAAGCCGACGACGATCGTGTGAACCTATCTCCTTTCTTCCCAAAGAGCCGCGATATGAAGAAGGTCGACGATTGTTCGAGGAGACACTTCTAGAAGATCCTGAGAGTTATGAACTTCCGGCGGAGCCTTACAGTTCTGTTTTTGCAACCGAGGAAGCTTCTCATCGATACTTGAAGTTTGCTAATAAGAAATTCATCGATCATTAGTATCTTCCTCTTGATGATGAAAAGCTGCAGGAAGTCAAAAACGTTGTGATTCACTCTGGGATGATTTACACCGCCATTGATGGAGAGCCGTATGTCCCTGATCTTGTGTGGGAATTCTTAGCAAATCTCCAAGATGCTACGAATGTCCGGAATGGTGGTGGTGTTGGTGTCTATGTTCGTGGAGCAATGTATGAGGTGTCTCCAAGCATGATTGACCTTATGTATTCCCTGAGCCCCGGAGATCCTAACTACGATGTGTACTCCGAGAATCTGGACACTGTGGTCACCTTTCTCACTGAGGGACGTCATCAAAGGTGGGAAGGAATGTGCTCGAAATTTCTCACATCAGACAATCAAGTGTTGTACAAACTCTGTTGTACATATTGGATGCCTACAATGAACTACACACGCATGCATCCAGATCGCCTCAGGTTCCTCTACGCACTTCATTACAACAAGCAAGCTGACTTTGGCATTATTTCATATGAACAGCTCATGGATATGGCTCACTCGGCTGATGATGGTAAGAGAAGAATCGGGTTTCTTTCACTCATTCATCAGTTGTTTCACTTTCAGCGGATTGTACCTCGACGTGAAAGAGATGAAGAGCTCACAGGACACCCCACTGCTCTTGTCAAAGATGGTAAAGCTGGCAGAGGAATAGGGGGAGTTAGCAAACCACCTAATCTGGTCGACTACCTTCAAAAGGTCATCAATGATCTCCGAGCAATTCAGCTTCGCAGCCGAAGTAAGTGCTTTGCCCTCTTTATCTTTCATTTATCTCACACAATTGTTTTTATCTAATGATGCACTCAAGCAGGGGGAGAGTATGTTGGAGAGGATCCAGTGCATATCATTGATAGCGATGATGAGGAGGAGGATTGCTAGATAGTTGCTAGATAGTTGCTAAGTTGCCGTATTTTTTTCTCATGTTTCTTGTTTCGGTTTCGATTTGAATTATGTTTCAGTATGCGGTGTAGTTGAACTTTCTAGAACTAAGTGGTGTGTAATCTTGGATGATCTAGACTTTATCAATGAATGCATTTGATTTCTGGTTTACTTTGATTGTCTATGTGCAAGTGTTGTGTTGGTTGTGTGTTTTGGTGTGCATGTTTCATGACAGGTGCTTGAGGTGTCACATTAAGATAAAAAGGGGGAGAATGTAAGCTCAAGTTTCTGAGCATGACGGTTGGGGTGTTACACGGGCAGGAGACTGTGTTACACATAAGTGAGCTCAAGTGTGTTTGAGCGTAAAGGCTGAGGTGTCACACAGCGTGGAGCGTGTGTTACACAAGGGGTGAAATACAAGGAAGCCGTTTCAGAAGATAATGACCCAAGATTCTAGGATGTTTGTTAGGCAACAAATAAGGAGATATTGGGAAGATTCTTACTTATCACAATAGGATACGTTTGGGTATATATTGGTGATAGAGTTCATTTGGTTAGGTTACGGCTTTTGGGATTTTCATTGTCATCGAGCTTTAATGTTTTTAAGCTGCGATTCTGGTTAGCAATTGGTGAGGCTTGTCTCGACCTTTGTGCTTTGGATAGATTAAGAATTGGTCCGTCTCTAGTCAAGCTGTGACGTAGAGTAAATAGAATTAAACAGATCTAGTGAGATTGTTTCAGTGATTCTTAATAAGGCAAGTTAGTTTTTCTTGAAACTACTCGTGTTATTCTTTTGTGGTATCCATACAAACTTTCACTATATACTATATACTATATACTATATACTATATATGGTCGTAGGTTTATGAGACTGAGCTCAGTGTCTCACATTCACAATATGGAGCAGCTTTGTTGGTATGCGACTTCGTGGCAACAATGTGGGTGTGGCCCACCTCCCCAGTTATCGTAAACGGGCCTCCTGATATACCCGTATTGTTGGGCTTCGTAGTAGGGCCCAAAATGACATGCCTGATTTGGAGTAATTGGAGCCTGAGCCGGAGTTGGCGTAGGAGCTGGGACCTGAACCGGAACTGGAGCTGGAGCTGGAGCTGGGACCTTCTCTGGCTCTTTCGGCTTCTCAGAAGGTTGACCCTGGGCTGGGGGCGGCTTGGGTGGTTCGAGGATCACGATGGACTTAATAGAACCGTCTCCTTTGTAGCAAAGTTTGTTCATAAGCTTCTCAGGATCGTAACAAACCACCTTGATGATGATTGTGTTAGTCTTCTCATCGTACAGTTCATCTCTTATTTCTTTTTTTTTTTTTTTTTGCAAAGCAACAAAATATATTGTATTATTCATCGAGTTTAGACCATTTTCAACCACAATAAGTCAAAGAGACGGAGAGTAACTCACGAGGGAATTTGCGGAGAGCTTTCTTGGCCTTTTTGTAGCATTTGGAACATGCAAGATCGACCGTCAACTTCATTATCGTAACCTGTTATTGTTCATCATATAATTTGATCACTATTATAAGAAAAAGAGAAGCAATATGAAAATTCAGATCCGAAAAAGTAAATTAGTATAAAGTACCTTCTCCGCCATTGCTCGGGAGTCTCAAAGTTTACAAGCATGAAAGTTTTATGCGCATATTCTATCTTGCAGGATCTACAAATCGCAATATAAAGAGATACAGATAAAATGAAAAAGCAGAAAAAGAGAGATAAGTTTATTTCTTTCTGTTATATCAGAATATCTTTAATATATTTTAACGTGTATTTTGAATGGAAAATATACTTTAGAAGTTTCTGAAAGTGCAAGTGTATTTAACGTTTAGAAGCCGACATTCTTGTTGACAAAAAAAAAGAAGCCGACATTCTTACACAACTTGTAATTACCAAAATGGGTTCCACGTTTTACAGAGTACGACCACAGAGCGTGTCCTTGCAGTGGTCCAATTCCTCTTATAGTAACCATATGTTTCTGGAATATGTTTCTGTGGTGCTAAAGAAATAAGTCGACGTGGATGAATTGGCTGTAAAGGGACAGTTTGAATTTGATGTTTCCATGAAGATTCTATTTATCAAAGAAGAAAGAAAAGAAGGGATCCAATTTTGTGACCTGAAATTTTTAAAATAAAAAGTGAAATAATATAAACTCGATAATGACATCAATTCTTGGATATTTCTTGCTTTTCAGTTTTTAAAGCACTAGTCTATGATTCATTTTGGTCTTTTAATTTCTAACGGAATGGTTGCTGTTAAGTTTGTTTGCACTAATGGTCACAGCAACCTGAACTGGTTGAGTTAATCGGTGGTAATGGGAAAATAATATTACCACGCTTCATTAAGTTCAATTTCATTCTATTCAACCCTTTTTCATATATATAAAACAAATTTCAGGAAGATTTGACCGTAAATATATATTCAGAAGAAAGTCAATGAGGTTAGACACTTACATAAATGAGAAAAGTCTAAAAAGGAAACAAAAACTTTGTAATCAAATGGTGGTAGTTTAGTGATTTTCACTTGAAAAAGATTTTTTTCATGTGGATAAATAAAAGATCTAGAAATTCCGTATATTATTTTTGTTAACTTTTACAAAGCGACATCGTGACTACATATACAAAACCCTAAAAGTATTAATGAATATTTACAATCTTAGTCTTTAATTATTGTATAATATTAATATATCTCAATATCCTTCTTCAAGTTGGAACATAAAGATTTTGAGTGTCTAATTTGGATATAATTGCTTGAAATGATTGTCTTCCTAGCACTTTCGTGAAAATATCTGCCAACTGATCTATTGTGGGTACATGATTCGTGCATAGAATCCTTGCTTGTATATCATCCCTGATAAAATGACAATCCGACTTCACATGTTTCGTCATCTCATGAAACATTAGATTAACTGTAATGTGAAGAGCAGATTTACTATTACAATAAAGTATAAGGCTCGACTTGTCGTTTGTGGTAATCAAAAAGAAAGAGTTGATTATAAAGAGACGTTTGCTCATATGGTAAAAATGAGTACAATTAGATTGATTTTTCAGATTACTGCAGGTAATGACTGAAATTTCATCAAATGAAAGTACACAATGTGTTTCTTCATAAAAACTTAAAGAAAGAAGTGTATATGAGACTACTTTAGGATTTTAGTGCTTTTACGAAAGGAATGGTGTGTAGGTTACACAAATCTTAATCCTTAATTATTGTATAATATTAATATATCTCAATAATAAAGACCATCTATCAATTTTTTTCGAACATGGAATTATCTTATCTCAGCGTCTGCCATTTTGCCAATCAAAATAGTGTCATTCTTAAATCAGATGAATAAATGATTCAATAATCACATTCAGCCTGAAAAGATCATTGGGTGTTAAAAGATCACTTTCTGATTATAAAAAAAATATATAACGTGAAACCTTGAAAAGATCAACCACAATGATACTTGAACAATTACAAGTGGTTGATTTGTGCATATCTTATATAATAAACTTGACTTCTGTCGCTTTTCTTTGTGCCACATCATCAGGTAGTATGCGACGTTTTTGGACACGTCTGCAAAGAGTTATTTTGGAAAAAATTCTCGGATTCAAATTGGGCTATACCATGACTTTATAAATTAAAAAGTATTGGAGCAAATACTTTCATGTTAGCTTAGAAGCTCATTAATAAACATATCTTCCCACGACAGCCTCTTCATTTCCACTCCCAATTGTCTTAATTAACCGCTGCAACTAGATCGACTGACCGTGTAACGTTTCTCATCGTCATTCAAACCATGTCATTAACTTCCTTCATAAGACTCATCCGTTAAGATCTCCCCCGACGTTCACTTCAAACAGCTTTTCTTTCAAATCTTGAATTTTTATAGTATAAACAGGGATGAAACTTCCTAAATCTACATACTCCACCCTATCGTGATTTCTGATATAAACGCGTCTATGGTTTAATCATCATATCTTACTCCTCGATTTGCATTGATATTGTGTTGGGGGTTGATCCCGACTTTAGTTTTTCGAGAATATCTTCAGCTGAAAACGGCTTTGTTTCTTCTTCTTTAGAACACCATTGACGTCACTGGAGCTGTGGAGAGAACGCAGAGGCAAGCGACCAACGGTAACCTTCTTAACTCACTGTCAAACCCCACCTACCTGTACACTACAACCACGACGGAGCACCAGAAACACGTCTCCCGCTTCTGTGTGGTGACCATCGCTCTGCTGTAGCTTGCTGGATCTACCATTCGCGGCCTTAAAGCAAAAGCGAACATCCATCGCGATCTACACTTCACTAACACGTTGCTTGATCTAACGAAATTATCGAAGACCCATCTTTCACAATTCCATACCTGGTTGTAATATGAACGGATTTGGAGCATCTCTCATAGGTTGGAAACTTCCTCTCAATCCATTTGTACGAATAATCACTCTTGCTTTCTGCTAGAAAATATAGATGTATATATTTTGCTTCATTTCTTTCTAAAGTAATTTACTTTAGATCTCTAGCTTACGATTACTTCGATCTTTTTTAATTCACTACATTTGTTGACTATTTTTATGGTGTTGTCAGAGAATTTCATGGTAACAGGAATTTGTTGCACGAGAACAATAGTAGACATTCAGCCAACGCGAAGATAAGCTCTTTATAAGTTTTCTTCTATTTGGCATGTGCGTGTGAATTAGTCTCTTCAATTTGTTCAAAGTGGTTCTCTTCAGATTGATCATAAGTACATCCCTCATTCAACAAGTTATATAGCTTTTAGTTGGCCCCGGAATTTACAATATTTCTTATTCCTCTCAGTTTTTCTTGAATACTTAAATCTCAAAGCAACGCTCAATATATACACCATAACCAAGAGGAGTCGCAAATCAAAGCAAGAAGTGTCTCGAGTGTAAGGGATGCACATTCTTATGCTATGTAGAGCTGTTCTATCAACAAGAGACAGTGAACATCAGTTGAATCCAACTAAGTAGTCAGTTTCAGATTGTTGGAAGGGTAAGTGTTCTTTTATGTTTAGTAAATTGAACATTGATGAATATGATTCCTGCAACTTTCTATTCCTTTACAGTTTCTCTTATTTACTGCTCACGGTCGCACGATACACATGAGTGTTATAACAAAGCTCTTCATTCGTGGAGCAGGTGATAGTATGCAACAATATATTCAGGTTTGTTTTGCTGTTTTTCTTAATTTCTTAAAATTGATTTAACAAAAGAATGGAGAAACTGGGATGAAGAGGTGAAACAGCGGCTTCCATTGTGTGTCACATTTTGCCAAAAACAGGTTTGATTACATCTTAGCTCTACTTTATTCTTAATATTGAATGGAAGTTTTTTTGACAACGCAGTAGCTAATAGCCTAATGCATGGAAACTGGTTTGGCTACAAGGGTTTTAAACAATTGACTTTCGTTTTTTTCTTCGTGTTCTTCAGTTAGAGAAAATTATTAGCTTGGGAATCTAAAAAAAGTGCACCACTAACAGTAATTGACAAAAAAATCAGATATTTGAGAATAGATCCTACTAACGGAGGCTCTAAGCGAATATTTAATTGATTTTCTGTAAGATGTTTTGGGAGAGGAGCTCATGTATGAAAGTTATGAAGCATAGCAACATGGTTGTTATTTGATGGAAAAAGAATTCTTGAAGTGCAAGGCATTGTATTTAGTTAAATTATAATTATTTGGACACTGTCACTATTTGCGGCTTACTAATAATATTTAGAATGATCACTGAAGGTTAGGAGGAGCACAACACAAACCATAAACCTTCGAGGAAACTACTACTACAATTTAAATGAGCACTACAAGAAAACACCGTATATTCCGACGGAGGTTCCGACGGATGCATAAAGCGTCAGACAATTTTGACGGATTTCCGACGACATTCCGACGAAAAGCAAAAATACAATTTCGTCGGAATTTCGTCAGACAAAACCGATGACTTTCTGACAAGACGTGGTTCGTCGGAATATACTGACGGAATTCCGACGACATTCCGATTATTTATATAACCGTTGTAGTCGTCGGAAAGTCGTCAGTATATTCCGACGAAATTCCGACGAACATTTTGGCCGTTGCCGAAGGTAAGAATATACCGACGGAATTCCGACGGAGATAACCATTAGGCGTCAGAATTCCGTCGGAATGTCGTCAGATTGCCGTAAGCAAGTTCTATAAATTCAGTCTCTCCTCATTCAACTCATTCACTCCTCACTCTCTCTTTACTCTCTTTAAGCACAACAATTTCTTGAAAATCATGTCTTCAGGAGTTTATCATCGTTCGTGGATGGATAAACCTCATATGGATCCCAACACCAATTTACTTACGGAAGAATATGTTCAAGGGATTGGAGAATTCATGAAGCTTGTTCAACAACAACCGGATGCAAAAACCGGTATGTTAAGATGTCTCTGCTCTACTTGCAATAATAATAGGATTATAAAAGAATTTGATGTTTGGACTCATTTGTATATGAGGGGGTTTTCACGTAATTATAAAGTTTGGTATCTTCATGGGGAAACTGGTTTTGAATATGGTAGTACTAGCGAACCTCAGCCTGTTAGCGAACCTCAGCCTGATATTAGGTTAGAAGAACCTAGAACAGATATATATTATAGTGTAGGAACTGTCCAGATGGTACATGAGAGGGGAAGAAGAACCAAACCCCGAATCTAGGAGATTTTTTATCATGTTGGATGCAGGAAAACAACCTTTGTATAAAGGTTGTAGAGATGGTCATTCACCCTTATCTTCTGCAACTA